AATCCCAACAAGAGTTTTGCCAAAGACGAAATTTAGCCACGATTGTTATTCTCTTGTTTAGTAAACTGTAATTAGGGTTTTCTAATTTCATATTTAATTAAGAAATACAAAAAATATGTCACGCTTCCTAAATATTTCCTTAATAACGATTCCAAAATCAGAATCGCATAAAAATAGAACGCTTCCTAAACGGAATCATAGCTTCCAAACACTTCCGATTTCCTTTTTTTCGGAATCGCGCTTCCACCACGCTTCCGGGCGCTTCCTGAAGCTTCCGATTCCGTTTTAGCTTCCGAAGCGGGAATCGGACTACGAACGGAGCTTCCGTGCTTCCTAGCAATTAATTATCCAAATATTACTAGATTAGTTACAAATGTGCTTTGATATTCTAATTATTTCGTTAATTAACATTAAACATCAGTAATACAAACATCATATCTCCATCTATACATAAAGGATTCGTATAGTACATATATACATATATATATATGTATTAAATTGATCTAAGATCTATATTTTTAAATCGAGATTCGAGACTAACATATATATATTTAACAACTCAAACATGTTGGCGTATATTCATGTAAACTAATATATTAGAGTATATTTTTGTAACTTATATAAGTGTAAATTTTGTTAGGTTCATAAATCTAAACTACATTTATAAAATTAATTCTCAAAACTAAATCCTAACTAAATCTATCATAATAGCAACAATAAGTTAATTTTTCAAATTTTGAAGGCGATTCAAATTTTCAAAATTAAACGGAAAACCTACACTAAATATTTCTATATAAATATATTCCCTTATATCATCTTCATCCTCTCAAATTTACCGAGCACACATCTTCTTAGTTTTCGACCAATCTAATTTTTTTTAAAATTTTCATCAACTCTTTTACAAAGATGTATATGTATTTGTTATTTAATTTACAAAAGAAATTGTCTTCTTCAATAATTTTACGGGTAAAACGAATTCCGAGACGAAAAATCGATGATTGAAATATAAGACGATTTTTTAACATGTTTTATAATACACTAACAAATTTCAGATTCCCGATAATAATACAATAATTTTTGTAACTAAGGGGGGTGTATTGAAACAAGGATTTTTGAAAATTTTGGTTTTTTGTTAAAATCCACTGTTATTCAATTAGTGATTTTAAAATCCCTTCCCAAATTCCATGTTATTGAAACTGAAATTTATGTAAAGTCATTCCAAATAATTCAAAATCCCTTGTTATGCAATTAAGAATTTATAAAAACCATATCAAATCCACTGTTATTCAAACTTTACAATTTTTTTTTTAAATTACTGAAAATGGATTTGGGGAGATTTTGGATACATTTTTAGTACAAAAATTAGAACAAAACAATCACACCTCTAGAGGTGGTATTTGAAAGAATTAAAACAAAAATGTCCAAAAAAATACATGGTAATCTAGCTGGCAATTCAGTCACCACACCTTCGTCTCCATCTCTCCGTCTTAGTCCACCACTTCGTTTGATCTAACTTCACACACACCAACTTTTTCTCCGCCGTAATCACCATAAACAATATAATCATCAAAGTGGCTACAAGAAACAATTGACCATGTCCAGTAACAACAAAAACCAATTGACCATGTCCAATAACATTGAAACCCCTTATCTTTCTCTGCAAAAAACCAAAGAAAAGAAGTAATTGACCATGTCCAATAATAGCATTAAAAAACCTTGTCTTTTCATTCATCACCAATAGCTCACGTTATCTCCCTCTTGGAAGCACTACACATTTATAATCATCCACACATACACCATCCCAAGATGCAGTCACAAAGAAGTTATGTCCAAGCTTTCATCCTCGAGGTCATAAACCACGATGATTGCTCACATGTGAGATTTGGAGTGAGATACTCTGATTAGTTTTTTTTTTAATCGTCGACTTCTGTTTTGTTTTCGTTAATAAACCCTCCTAAATGACTCTAGTAAATCTCACCTAATCACCGATTATTTTTCTTTAAAAAGAAAAAAAACTAACAAATCAACCTAAATATCCTAAAAACTTATTCAAATCTCTCCAAATACTAAAATATGGAAATTCCACTAAATCCCTCAAATCTTTAATTCAATACATGGTAAAATGTTAGAATCAAACCGGCTCAGACGTCACAATGCCTAGAATGCCACTATGTGGGAACAAAAAGGCTAGAAAACCACCCAATTTTTTAGAATAATAAAAATAAAAGAATTTAAATCAAATAAATACAAAAGGACCAAAAACCCTTACCCTAATTTGATAATTACGTATCCCTGCCACTCATTCCTCTTCTTCTTTCACGCTTCTTCTTTTTTCACTCCTCTTCTTCTTTCACGCTTCTTCTTCTTCTTCTTCTTCTTTCATTTTTTCTAGATTTTTTTTTTGGATCTTTCACTTTATATCTCTTCTTCTCCATCATCATCATCATCAATGAAACTTTAGATCTATCTTCTCCATAGATCTCTCTTTGCGTTTCTTCATAGATTGAATCTTTCTTCATGTTTCTTCTCCATGGATTTCTTAGATTCACTAATCATGGATATCTCTTCATGTTTCTTCTCCATGGATATCTCCCCGTGCTTTCGTCCTTTGAAGTGCGCAATCGTTTGGTGAGAAAAACGGTTCACAAACTTCGACAAAGAAGGTTGACGGCGGATAATCGGCGACGACGACGATGAAGAAAGCAAGAAGAGGCGAATTAGTAAGTGTGACGGCGCTAGGGTTTAGAATTACAATTGCTTCGTTTCAGTTGTACCTACTTATTTGTACCAGTTGTACCTAACTATTTGTACCATTGTACCTAACTATTTGTACCAGTTGTACCTATTTATATGTCAGTTATACCAATTGTATCAATTGTACTATTATCTTTTAGTAATATCATTTGTACCAGTTGTCCAATTATCTCACAGTTATACTATTTGTATCAGTTTTCATATTATCTCTTAATTGTACCAGTTGTACTATTATCTCTTAATTGTACCAATCGTCTCTTATTTCATTAAGGGTAATTTGGGAATATCACATTTACAGTGACATTCAGATCACAAAATGGCATGCCAGATTCATTTTCTCCAATTAGTGGCAAACCAGCCTCGGACTCTCCGACGTCGCATTCCATTTCCTTTACTTCTAACCCCAACCAATTTAAAATCACTCTTATATTCGTCCCTAAATTAAATAATAAAAAAGAAAAAAAGAAGACTAAAAAAATTCGCTAGTCCATTTTCTTCTTCTTCTTCCTCTCACCAAAAAAAGCTTCCATCGATTTCGCATCAGATCCATGAAGGAATCAGATCTAACCACCGAACCAATCGCTCAGAATCTAATCAAGCTTATCAGCAATGTCTGTTTCTCAGTCTTCGTCTTCACAGTTCTCATTTTCACTGTAATTGCCGTCACTTACCAACCACCAGATCCATGGCTTGAATCTGCTCCAGCTCTCACCAAACTCCTAACAGAAACCGAAAACGCAACTTTCAAAATCGACGGTTCGATGCTCAAAACCGGTGAAGACATCGCTTCTTCTTCCCCGGTTTCAGCTCCGGCGGGGCTAGTTACGGAGGCGACGATTGAGAAATCCGAGGAGAGAATCGGGAATATGACGGTGAAGAACTCTTCTTCTGATTATTCTATGGATTGTGATGATTTGAAGATTGTGAATTGTTCGGATCCGAGAGTTTTAGTTGCTGTTGAGAGGTTTAATTTGAAGGTTTTTAAGTCTATTGTGTTCTTAGAGTACGAAACTCCGGTTAACGGATCGAATTTAGACGAATGCGATGTTTCGTGGAGATTTAGGAATAAGAAGGAGAAGTCTTGGAGGAGATATAGAGATTTCAGGAGGTTTAAGTTTGGATTTGGTGAGAATTGTACTTATAAGGTGTTTCATACTAGTGGTTGGCATTCTGGTGTTAATGCTCGTAGGCCTAGGATTAGACCGAGCTCGGGTAGAGGCGGTGGACCGAAGGTTGTGCGTGGTGGTGATCCCGAGATTAATGATACGATTCCGACTCTTGGTTCGCAGACGAATTTTAGGAGAGGGAAGTATTTGTATTATTCGCGGGGAGGTGATTATTGTAAGGGGATGAATCAGTATATGTGGAGTTTCTTGTGTGGTTTAGGTGAAGCAATATATTTGAATAGGACTTTTGTTATGGATTTGAGTTTGTGTTTGTCTGCAAGTTATAGTTCCACGGGGAAGGATGAGGAGGGTAAGGATTTTCGGTATTACTTTGATTTCGAGCATCTTAAAGAAACGGCTTCTATTGTTGAAGAGGGTGAGTTCTTGAGAGATTGGAAGAAATGGAATCGGTCGCATAAACGGAAAGTTCCTGTTAGGAAGGTTAAGACGCATAAAGTGTCGCCTTTGCAGCTTAGTAAAGATAAGAGCACGATTATATGGAGGCAGTTTGATACTCCTGAACCTGAAAACTATTGGTATAGAGTGTGCGAAGGGAAAGCGTCAAAGTATGTGGAGAGGCCGTGGCACGCATTGTGGAAATCAAAGAGATTGATGAACATTGTCTCTGAGATTAGTGGGAAAATGGACTGGGACTTTGATGCGGTTCATGTGGTTAGAGGTGAGAAAGCGAAGAACAAGAAGCTTTGGCCACATTTGGATGCAGACACATGGCCTGATGCAATATTGACCAAACTGAAAGGACTGGTTCAGGTGTGGAGGAATTTGTACGTCGCCACCAATGAACCGTTCTATAATTACTTTGACAAATTGAGGTCTCAGTACAAGGTTCACTTGCTTGATGACTACAGCTACTTGTGGGGGAACAAGAGTGAGTGGTACAATGAGACAAGTCTCTTGAACAATGGTAAACCAGTTGACTTTGATGGGTACATGAGAGTAGCTGTTGATACAGAGGTGTTTTATAGAGGAAAGACTCGTGTTGAGACGTTCTATAACCTTACCACGGATTGCAAAGACGGGATCAATACATGCTGAAATTGATCAGTCAGGTTGTTGTTATATGTCTCTTTTATTACTTTTGTACCACCAGCCATTTCATTGTTTAATTTGTTTTTGTATCCTATTCAATTATGCTTGTGTTGTTACCTTCTGTTCTACTAGCAATTGAAGAGTGTACGTAACGTTTACATTTTTTGATTCATAATTTTAGTCCTGTAAGAAGGAAACACCAGTTACCGGTTCTTGCGATGCTAGGATACTTTTTCCAGGAATGGATGGGTTACTCTGTTAAATCGTGATATTGTTGTCGATGCTAAACGAAAGTTCTACAGTTCTAGCGTGAATCTTTGCCAACTAGCAGGAATTTAGCTGATTTGGGATCTGATTGTTATATGGTTCTGCAAATAAATAGCTCTCTTTTATCGCTCAAAACAATCTGCATATGTTCTTAGCAGCTTCTGCTAGCAAGGGATAAGATTATCAAATAACATCACACAATCTAGCAGCTTCTGCTAGCAAGGGATAAGATTATCAAATAACATCACACAATCTTGCATTGTTCATCTCAAATATTCAATATTCTACTATTCATGACAAAAGTAACATCACACAATCTTGCATTGTTCATCTGTTTATCATGAACGGGATAACAAAAAAATTGAAAGTATCAAGATTGTACATCGGCATGAGGTGGAGGGTTTCCGCATTGTGATTGCGGATACTTTAATATCGTCCAGTCGAACACAAAATCAAACTGAAAACCTGAGTTAAACGAATACTCATTTGGTGTTAACAGAAGCTTTTGTATGAACTTGATAGCCTTAGATGAAGAAAAATAGAGAGTAAATAAATGACCTTCACGAGTAAAAAGGTCGCGGAATAGTCTCTTCAAATATGCATAGTCTGGCTTATCAACGAACCTAAGGGAGCGGCAGTAATGGAGGTAGGTTGCAAACTCTATTGGATGACCTTCGCATAACGTCTACAAAGACACTGATGCAAAGTTATAGTACATGGACTCATAGAAGTTTCTAAAAGTGTAACCATATACGAAGAACTTACTTCGATGGAAGTTGAAACTTTCTTATCGTTAATCTTGTCATATATCTGTTTCTTGTTCCCAGATTTTAGTCCTTTCCATGGAAGACTACAAGAAAATAGGATAAGAGATGGATCAGGAAACAAAAAGCAGGATATAAGAAAGGTTACGCAATGACTCACCTTCCTCTGAGGAAGTACATGAGGATATAACCAAGTGATTCTATATCATCCCTCCGACTTTGCTCTACCAAGTGTAGAATGAATAGAAAGATTGAAATAAGAAAAAGTATACAGCAGAAAAGAGAATAAGATCTGCGATTAGCGATGAAGTATACCGATCCCTAAGTGAGTGTTCAAGCTGGCATACGCCGGTGTCCCAACTAGACGTTTATTCTCCCTGAACAAGTTATATGTAAAAATGCATTCAATAATAAACCAATATGCTGAAAAATGTTGAATCTGTGACATAGAAAACCTTGTTACCTATATGGTATATGTCGGTAGCTTGAGCTATCTCTATATTTCCTAGCCAAACCAAAGTCTATGATGTAGACCTAGAGAAACAGAACCAAAAATGTGATGCAATAGTGAGATCCTATAACCAAAGATGAGTGTATGAAGAAAGATTACCTGATTTGCCTGCCTTCCCAAACCCATAAGGAAATTATCCGGCTTTATATCACGATGAAGAAACGACTTAGAATGGATGAACTCGAGCCGATTAATCTGACACAATGTGTATAAACAAGTTGGTTAAAACCCCATCAGTAACAATGAATCAAATCCAAAGCATTAATTACCATTTGATCAGCTAGCATGAGAACTGTCTTCAATGTAAACTTCTTGTTGCAATAACAAAACAGATCTTCAAGGCTTCCACCAAGCAAATCCATCACTAAGACATTGTAATCCCCATCGACGCCATACCATTTCATGTTTGGAATTCCAACTGCATAAGCAAACATACACAACAAGAAAATGAATAACCGCGAACAACGATATAATCAATGTGAGTGAATCCAGAAAAACATTTCATACTTCCACCCTGAAGAACTCTATATATCCTTGACTCATATGACAATTGTGGATGCACAGTCTTCACACTTTCCTACAGAAGACACAACAAAAACAATCTTTTCATGATCCAACCAAAACGTGTTTGATTTAGTTCAACAAAGTTTAAAACACTCACAAACTTAATTGCAACATCTTCGTTACTCTGAATATCACTTCCTGTAATCAAACTTAGTCATCAAAACCACTTGGAACAGAAAGTGACCAATCAAGGAAATATTTTGGTAAAATCATAGAGAGAATCGAACCAAGGTAAATCTCTCCGAATGAGCCGCTACCAATTTTCCGACCAAGCCGGAACTTATTCCCAATACGAAGTTCCATCGATAAAACACCAATTCAAAAACCCTAACTTGTGTTCTACTCCGTCTGCGTCGTCTTTTTCATTTCTTTTTCCTTATCTCTCGTGTGTATTATATATTTATAGGTTAACTATTTTTCGTTCGACATAATTTTTTTCTTTTCTTTTTTGACAAAGTAAAGACATAATTTTTGGTTTTTTATATAACTTGTAAGTAGGCATGACCAAAAACTAACCGTAACTAGACCGTTTTTCAAGTGTAACCGTATAAAACGGTTAAAAAACCGTAACCATAAAAATAGATTAGTTACGGTTAAAAAAATATACTAACTGTAACCGTTAATTAACTGTAAACGTATCAAAACTGTTAGTTAACTTTACGGTTAACCGCTGGATTAATCGCATAGTTAAAACTTTAAAAATATAATTGTAACTGAGTATAATGCAAAAATAAATATTGAATGTTCAGATAAAAATTTTCAAAAAAGTAAATGATATCGCATATGAAAAAATCTATGTTAGAAAAAATGGTCTTTTCAAACAAATATGTTGTAATGCTATATTGCTCGAAATGAAGAAAATTTGGTTTATAATGTGTTATTAACATATATTTGTTATAACAACTTGATATTGTACTTAGTTTGTTACTAACCTTCATTTCATAGGAGTTAGTTTAAATCATATGACTTTAGCTACTACATATAAAGATTTATGGTCTTTGCCAGGTCGGTACCGAAACTAGAGATCACCTTTGGCTGTCTTATGATTACAGTGTAACCATCTGGACTCTCATTCGTCAAAGGCTCATGTCGCGCTCAAGTGCTTTTCAGGGCTAGACCGATCTGATTAAAACCTCTCGTGCAACGCTCCGGAAGCTTGTCGCTCAGGCTGTCATCTACGCTTTATGGATGCAAAAAAACAACTATGTATATAACTTGTAGTTCATCCCCGCGACAACTATCTTCAAGAACATTGACCTTGAGATCATCAACACCAACAATGTGAAGCCTCATAGGAAAAAGTACAGGAACCTTATGGGACTTTGGCTTCATTGAGGCATTGTTCTAACTTTTTCTAAGTTTATATTTCCTTGTTTTTTTAGCTTTTTTTGGCAACAATCTATTTTCTTTTCTTTTTTCTTACATATTTATAAAGACAGTAAAATTTCTAAAGTTTACAAATCAATACATACCAATGTTTATAAAATCGTTGTGCAGTAACTAAAAGAGTTTGGTTAATTAATCGGAGTTTAGGCGGAATCTAAGCGTTTATAAATTCTTTACTTATTTTTCAATATTTATAATTTTATAATAAGACATAATTATATGGTAATTGATGATATTTCCTATTTGAACTTGTTTATATATATACACTAGGTTATTTAGCCGCGATACATACTATGTTATATGTTTGCAATTTATTTTACTTAGGTTTTTTGTTTGAATTTAAAATTTAAAGAAAATTAAATAAATGAATTACTGTAAATTCAAATTTGATTTTTTCTATAAAATTTAAATTCTATTCATCTATATATAATGATATTTATGTTTTTTAAAAAATAATTAAGAGTATATTACTGCTTTTAATCAATACAATATTTGATGCCAATTAGAAATTTTAAGAGTGTTGATGATAAAATTAATGATTATAGTAATATAATACCTATACATAAATAATACTTATTATGTTAAAATGTGAAAATCTTAAACCCTACTATGAAAATTAAGTTACATCGTTTTCAATTTATAATTTATATTTTAATAGTAAAGTTGATATTCTAAATTTCCAATTTAAAAGAATTTAAATATAATGGTAATACAAAAAATTTCTTATTATTTTCTACTTAATGAAAATATCATAACCAAATGTTATACATATTGGGTTTGGGCTGAGTTTTTAATTGAGTTTACCGTTATATTTTGATACAACTTGATTCGAAGTTGTTTATCTACTTAATGATAATATTTAAAATCACATAAATGACGTAAAAATGTTAAAATACCATTTTATTAGTTTATTATCCGTTAATAAAATAATCATTTTATGCTACTTGTAAAAGCATAATTTATTTGAGAAATGTATAACAAATAATTTATTATGTAATTTTTCTTACAGTTTAAGAAATAGATGTAGGAATGAAGATGAATTATATTGTAAGAGATAAGTGAATAGAGATGAATTATTCTATTATACAATTCAAGCGTCTGCTTCCACTACCACTTAACATTTATGTTGTTTCGAAGCATACTCAATTGTATTTTTTTCCTTCTACTCACCATTAGTCTTCTTGATTTTTTCTTAATCTCACTTCAAAAATATCAAATTTATTTTGAGTCAATCAAAATTCAGGTTTATATAGATTGACTGTTTTGGACAAAGAAAATCAACCTTAGTATATCTTCTCTTGTTGCATTACAAACTTTGGGTTTCTCTACTCGCTCCTTTTAAAATACCTCTGAAATAGCATATACGATTGATTGTGAGTAAAGTTTCTTGGTTACATGTCATCACTCTTCACAGCCTCTTACAAAATTGACAAAAATGTAATATTGAAATATCATTAGTCAGATTATAAAAGAAAGTGTTATAAAATCTATCAATATTATGAAATTTGGAATATGATGGTTAGTGATATGTGTATACTACTATTTATATAATACAACATATTTACGTTTTACAACTATTCAACTTTAACAATTATATTTAAATGTCATTTATGATTAATTTAATTGTATGTATATCATAAAAGTTATGTTATATTTCAAAGAATTCATTGTGTATTAATTGTATTTAAAGTATTGTTACAATTTAGTGTGAGCATTAACAACATAACGATAATTATTAGTATGGAGGTTATAAAATATGAGAAAATACATAAAATATAATTATTATATATTATTATAGGAAAATCTTAAATTATTACATGCTAATGATGTGGATGACATTTGTTTCAATATATATATGATTGAAATTTTTTTAAAGGCTCTTAAGATTTGATATCTTGCATTTGCTCATATTTTAGTATTATTTTTTACTTTACTATTATTTATGTATGTAAACATCAATAAACATATGTTATCTATTAATTTTACAAAATAAATTGTTGATAATAACTCACATATAATTTGTTTGTTTGTTGATATAAACTCCCACATAATAGTTCAAATTCATATTATTTTGCAAGTGGCAAACTAAATTTATATTTCTTATAAAAATCATATGAACTTCAATCTAATTAAAATCATCAAAGATCCAAGGATAACTTCTATCTTTTTTCTTTTCTTTTTTAATTTCACTCATCAATTTAAATTCTAGTGCTAGATTTTATACTAATGGTTTAATTTTATCTTTATAGGATTTAATAAAATGATTTTTTTTAATTATAGTTATTTTCTTGTATATTTCACTCTATTTAAGTATGAGTGTTAGGTTTCATTCTAATGATTTCATTCTAATTTTCTATTTTACCTAAATTTAATTTTCTTGAACCATATGATTCATTTTTTTAATCTTAAGGACCAAATTATTTTTAAAGAAATTCTTTTTAATTTGAAAAAATACTTAAACCTCAAAGTTTAAATCAGATAAACAGTATAATGATTTTTATATAATTATCTATTGGATCACAAAAAGTAAATAAAATAATACGTATATTAAAAATACATTACAAAATTTATTCGAGATAAGAAAAAGGTAAGAAATATATATTTAATAAATGTATTACAATAATTTATTTTATTAAATATTGCATAATTAAAAGAATTACATAAATATATTAGAAAATATTCAAACATCTAAAATAGATAATGAAAATGGATATTTTCAACTTCATTATCTTGTTGTGCTATGATTGGAATTGATATATCTAACTCTCCATCACCAATAAACCTGAAATTTTGTTATAACCATCAAAACTTTTAGTATACATATGTTAATTTAAACTAAAAATATGAAAATTAAAGAATAAATAAGTATATTTTAGTATGGCTTTAGAAATATACAAAAATGACTACAATGTTAGATATATATAATACATTCTACAATAAATTTAGAATCAAATGCTTGATTTTTAATCCATATAACAACATAAAAAATAGACACATAAATATAGTAGAAGAAGATGAGAGAATGATTACTTATAAGATGATTATCTAAAATAGACAATGAAGATGCATCTTTCAAAAAAAAAAAAAAAAAAACTAATGTAAGAACACAAAACAAAAAAAATATTTAAGATTTGAGCTATAGTGGAAGAGGGTGAGAAGATGAGAGGATGAGAGAATGAGAAATGAGTATTTATAGGATGAGAAGTGAGATAAGTTACAATTAAAAAAAAAAATTAGGAGTTACAATTCTAATTTATTGTGTGTTGAATAAACTTAAGTGGAAAATATAGTTAATGTATAATTTTAATGATTTCAGTTTTTATATTAAAATGTGAGTTAAATATGTTTTATTTATGATTTCATTAAAAATAAAAAATTTAAATTACATTTTTAAATGGACCAATAAGAAGAGAGTGAAACTCTACTTTTATATGTATGATTAAATGAGAACTACCATACCATATGTGAAACAAAAAATTGGTACTAACTAAATCATATTTAACAATTTTAATAACGAAAAAACTTTTTTTTTTCTTTTTCTTTTTCATTTATTCAAAGTGATGAAGTATTAAAAAAGAAAAAAACATCAAACTCGAGGACGAATTTGATTGATTTGGTTGATTTGATTGATTAATACTGATTTTGAACATTTACATCGGTAAACCAATTTAATTCAGTGACTTTAATAAAATCGGAACGCCAATAAACTTATGAGCGCTTACACAATAACTTTTTTAACTATGGTATATATTGTACGTTTTTCTTACTAACTTAGGGGTATTATTGGTTTGTGATTTAAATAGAGTTTTAGTGACTTTAAATGTTATGTAGAATCTATTGTTATTCAATCAAGATTTTTTAAAAGTTTGTTAAAGTTTGATGTTATTAGTTTAAGATTTGTAAAAGTAATTTAAAATCTTCATAAATCTGGAGTTATTGGATTCATACTTTTATAAAAGCATTAAAAGTTTTGTGTTATTCAATTACAACAAAATAATATATG